TAAAACATGGTGAAAAGAAAACTAAACACTAGAAATCAAGGAGTAAAGTAAGACTGAATACTCAAAAGAAAAACATAACAGAAACAGAAACCTAACACAATGGTGCATAATGGCAGAGACTGGAGGGAGGTCCATCTTTTTCTTCAGCAAATATTTTTGCATTGCATACATCTTACATAGTATTATATAAAAAAAAAATCTATCATTATGATAAATAGAGCTAGTAACTGTAGCCCTAGCCACAGTGCGGGACACTTGTGGCTGGAGGGCCAGTGCTAGTTTGTTGAGGACAGGCCTAATACAGAGAGGAAACCGTAATGAGCTTATTAAAATCTTAATGTTTTTTTGTGACTGCATGACACTCTGAATTTGGATTAAATTTAGAACTGGCTTTGATCTTTTTCACTTCTGTACATAGTAGATAGATCTATCTCAAAATACTACCAACGTTTCTGTTGTATGTTTGTGTAGCATAAAGTGGAGTACCTCCCCTTGCTTTTTTTCCCAATTAAATCACTGAATAAGAAATATCCATAAGGCCAGTATTTTTATATTACAAGAAGAAGAACACCATCCCCAGCTGTAAAGCATTAGAGTGGCAGTGTCAAGATGTGTGGCTGTTAGATGGCAAATTGGGACTTTGTTTGGGCCCTGATATAAATCATATAGATTACAAATTAAAAGATTAATTAATTGTTTGAAAGTAATACAAAAGACAAATAATTTGGGGTCTAATTGTATTTTCGTAACATTATACATTTAAAAAAGAAATTTTCCTCCTTTATGGAACATAACTGACAAATGGGAATAAAATGCTCCATAAATATGGTGTATAAGACGGATGGAAGCTGACCAAACAACACTGATCTGAACACAAGGTGGTGTTTGTTCCCCACCTTCCTGTTGGACTTTCCAGAACTGTTTCTTCACCCAACAATAACACAGGAGCGGACCAGAAGAGACGCCTCACAGACGGCTGCTTATCTATAGCAGTTAATTCAGTGGGAATTGTTCCAATTTTCTAAAGTTTATTTCTCCTTGAAAAGAAACAAAACGGAACATCTATCAAACCTAAAAAAAATTTTTTACAGTTCAAAGGGGATAAAGATCCACATATCTTCATTTATAATCCTTTGTAAATGATATCTTACTGCATTTATACAATTTGGCTGATTGGTTTTGTCCTTTTTGGAACACATTACATGTTTTTTTGTGTAAGTAAAAAAAAAAAAAACTGATTGGAGCTTTGTTGAGGAAAGTAATGGTGGAAAACATCCTTTGAATGTGACCCTGAACTCTCAGCTTTGAACTGCAGCTTTTAAACAATCCGGTATGAGGAATCTGCTGTTATGAGTCTCTTTTTTTAACTGAAGTTGAAAATACAGCTTGATTTGAACAGAAATTATCAGGCAGAGATGGCATATTTTTTTATCACCAGGCATCAATATTAGGATATAATGTTTGTTTTGAGGCTCCCTGAGAGCTTTATATTATTTGCTAGAGAATCTTAAAGTTTCATTTCTTGGTTCTATTAAAATGGGCTTTCTGTCTCCACTTCCCTAATTAAACCAAACTGTTCAAAGTTCAACGAAAAACAGAAAAAGAAGTGTTGGAAAACAAAACAACAGGTGTTTTTTTGTTTTGTTTTCTCCAAAAATGTACAATGTAAGGTTTCAGCTTACATGTTTAAATGTTTTCTTTATCCACCTGATATCAAAATATGCTGCTAGCTGTAAACAGACATACTTTTGAATAAACTGACCTGGGACTCCTGCTTGCATCCATGGAGAGATATCTGTCCCCTCACCACCTCTCTCCAGTTTGGTAGTATTGATGGGAGCCAAAAGTTTGACCACTTCCTCCATCACCTGTTGATACAGACACGGTTTCCTAACTTGGTGTTTTTACATACTATCAAAATTGTTAAATGTGGTTTATTATAGCACTTTTATAAATGGAAATGAGATCCAAAATAAAAATCATATAACCACTGAAGAAAATATTTAACACTGCAAAACAATAAAGCATCACACAGGATTCTTATGCATTGACTTTTCAATCAGCTGGTTAAGTTTAAGGTTTATGAACTTAAAGACGGATCATAAAATCGAAGGCTGGAAAGAACCAGTAATGGATGGTGGGATGGATTAACTTGAAAAAAAAAATGGAGGAGCAGAGGAAAGGCTGCTTGAAAGGAGTGACAGACGACCCAATAAATGTAAAAATAACATTATTGTAACAACTAAACACATTTACAATAAAACAAATATTTAGAAATGTTGTAAAAATGTCCCGTAATACTGAAGTGTAAATATCACCCTGGGATCCAAGGCTGAAAATAAATAAACATTTCCCAATACCAACATCAAAACTTGAGATACATAATCATCAAATTAAATTCACTATGGAGGTTTTTTCCCAATGCCCTTTATTTATTTTGGGCTGTTTACTTTTTGTAGTTTTACACTCATTCTTACCTTCTGTGCCGCGTCACTGCCAGTAAACTGCAGAGCCATTGGGGTGAACGTCCCCAAGTCAGACTCCATAACAAGGTCAAAGTTTGAGATGTTCTCCTGTGTGAGGAGAGGAAGTGAGACAGGAGGGGGAGGACAAAACAAAATGAAAAAAAAAGCTGAAAAACATTCAACGAAGGAACACAAGACAGCCTCTGAAGTTTGTTTGATGGTTTGTGAACACATGAAAGCATGTATATATATATATATATATATATATATATATATATATATATATATATATATATATATATATGGACTGCAAGAAGAAATATATATATAAGGGCTGCAATTAACCATTATTTTGTTGTTTTGGAAATCAGTTATTCTGTCGCTTATTATTTTTTCAATTAATAAATTATTAAATGAATAGCCATATATTCTTTAAAGAAGACTTTTTATGACATTAATCCAGCTGAAACTCAAACTTTGCCACTTGAGGAACGATAAAAACTTTTTTTTTTACAATCTTGGTATAATTACTGCTCTAAGTGGGTCGCTCTCTCAGCTAAAGGCATGTTTTACAGTCTTTATACTCCAGCTAATGATTAATCGATTACTAAATGAGTTGATGATTATTTCATAATCGATTAATCTCGATTAATCAGATTAATGTATATATATGTGTATGTGGCCACTAGGAGTCACTAAAGCAACTGTTATACATGGAAATAAAACTAATGCAAGTTAGGAAAGACCATGAAATGCCCTAAGGAGTAAGATAAACTGCAAACAAATTACTGGTTTGTTTTTAAAAATGCATGAAATCTTTATCTGTTCTTAAGTGTTTAGCTTATCAGGTTTTAGAGCCTGATGGGCAGCCAAAGCTCTAAAGGAGGAAAAATGAACGTGGGGATTGCTGCAGACAAAAACCTGGGAGGTGGCCAAGTGCTCTCCAGTCTGCTGGAAGCACATTTCCACACTCATACACAGAGCTTTCACAATGCGCTGACCCTTGCTGCTCTCTTTCAGCACAAATTGTATTTTCTTTAAGGCTCTTCTGGAGTTTTTTCTTCTTTTTTGAAGTTGCAGTACCTTGTGTAGATTAAAGTACTGTTGGGCTCCGACGCCACCCTGCTCCTCAGCTGTCCACAGAACCGCCCTCAAAGTTCTTCTTGGACGCAAACCTTTAAACAGAAGAACATACCATTTAGTCACTTGGAACGCATTCATCACATTTATTTTCTACATTTTGGAAAAATTGTTTTTATATTATATATATCAAATGTATTTAAAATGAGCAGAATATCAAAATGTATATTAAATAGAGCATATGTTGAATATTAGAAAATTGAGATTTATAGCAGTGTAATGCTTAGACCTGGAGTTTTATAGGCTGGTTTGAATCTGAGTTTGGGTTAACTGCTGCTGCATGGAGTTTTATTTATAACTGGTGCTCCTGCTTTCTGTCTTAGTCCAGTTTGATTAAATTGCGTCTACTGGGTGTACTGGACTGGGCATGGGTCTCTGGACCATCTTTATATTGTATGTACACATATTCATGCACTGATAGCTCATGTCTATAACTGATTGCTCTGTGAAGGCCTCACAAGTTTGTTGGAGAACAGCATCACAAAGACTGCGGAACATATCAGACCAGTGACCATACTGTTCTGAAGAAGTTCAAAGAGAAAGTTGGAAAATAATGCTGCAAGGTTTAAATCATATCAAAATATGGAAGTATACCATAACCTGCAGGCCGGGCAAGGACGGTAAATAACCAGACAAGTGGCCAATGGTGACTCTGGAGAAGCTGCGGAGATCCACAGCTCAGGTCTAAAGATGCAAATATTAGAGGTGCAGCTGAATGCCATCCATAAGTAGGTCCAGTTTTTAGTTTGCCAGAGGTTATTAGTGCAAAGCTCCCCAACCCTGGTCCTCATTAAGCCCCACTGTCCTTCCTGCTCTAAGTGTTTTCTTGCTGCCACACCTCACGAATCAATGATCAACAGGTTTCTTCAGTCTAATCAAATCCATCTGTAATGTGGAAATGCAGGTTAGTTTGATGATCTGAGCTGATTTGATGGTCCTGAATGACGCTGTAGCAGCAAGTTACTCCTTTACATTCCTGCAAAGACTTCAGATCCATCTTCATTGATTGCCTAGGAATGAAATCTTTGTCTTAACTGCTGTAAGAGGAGTCTATGTTTGTTTTCATCTCCACCCAAACAATCAAGCTGGAAAAAAAAAATGCTGAAGGAACTTTGAAGTTTTGCTAAAATATGAAATATAATAAACTTGAAACGTCTCTTCTCAGGCGTTAACACCCCATCAGAGGGCACTGAAAGCTCAGCAGATGAATAGAAATTTCTGAGGAATCAAGAGGAAATTCCTCCCTTCCTCTTCACCTCATTTTGCTGGGACTCTGCAGCAGAAGCCTGATGGATTAACAGTAAAGCTCTCTTTAGTGTGGTGAGGATGCATGAGAGGAAGATGATACAGTCTTACTTATCTTATGCAATCTGATAGAGCATCTCTTTCTCTGGTATTAATGGACAAACGGGAAGTGCAATAAGTTGATCCTCAAGCTATGAGACTGCTGTGTCTTCATTATGGCTCACATTATTTTGTAATACTTGAATAAAACATGGGAAGACATTCTAAAGGTTTTGCTGATAGCAGCCTTTCTTTTACGCTTATAAATGAGGTCAGTCGAAGTCAAACAATGGAGGTGCTAGAGGTGAAAGAAACCCATGAAAAACAATAGACTCCTATTTCACCCGCATTTTTCCCAGTAAATATCTGTCATATTTCAACACCATTTTGTTAGATAGATGTTCCAAAAATCCCCTGTAATTGTCGAGATTTTATAATGGCTGTCATGTACTTTTCCTCTTAAAGCAACTGAAACCCAACTCCTTAGGTGAATCACCTATACAGACGGCAGATAGTACAAACTAGCCCAAACCAGCCCCAGCACTGTGTGTAAAGGTCATTCCTCTTAAACTGCAAGCTTGCAAAGGCAGAAATAAAGAGTGATATTGACATGTCTGAGCTGAAATGGTCCTCTGAGCTTGATATGCTGGCAAAGACACATTAATTGAAAGATGAATAATAAGGAAATAAGTTTCAATACTTCAGGAAAAAAATGCCATTAGTGAAGTACAACCTCAAGCTTTGATTTAATACTTTGATTTGAGACTTAATCAAAGTTGGGCATAGTAAAGTGGAAGAAAAAATATTTTTCTTACAAATAAAAAGAAAAACTACAAAATAAAATCTATTGCTCCCATCTGCCTCAAGGTATTACTTTATTATTGAATAGAGTTCTTCTTTTGGTAATAAAATGTCAGTATAAATTCTTTGAGCCACACCAAACTAACATCACCCTGAACACAACTTCCACACAAAGAACCATGGTCTTGGCAGCATCATGCTATGGGAATAGTTTTCTGCAGCAGGAAAGGAGAATTTGTTCAGAGTTGGTGTGATGATAAACAAAGCTTAACACGAAGAATACGGTGAGATTTCTATGTTGATCACCGTGGGTCAGTTATATGACATTTCAGCTGACACCAAGGCGTAATCCTGCCTGGCTTGTTTCATAAAATAGGTGGATTGTTCATCTTCTTGTTGGTGTTGCATCATATTCTGTGCCACATGGGTCAAAACATACAATGTTGCACAGAATATGGTGTAACACCAGGAAGGCTTGTCCCGATCCGATACGTGGATCGGATCGGGACGCCGATATTGGCAAAAGAATGCGTATCGGCAAAGAATGTAAAAATGCCGATCCAGACTGCCGATCCAGTTTTTAAAAAAAATCCGGTCCGTATTTTCCAGTTTCGCCGATTGAAACGATGCATTCCACTATTTTGCGCCAGTGTTCCCCGAATCCGGTCCGCATTTTCCAGAACACCTTCAACACACCCACAGGTCTTTTGGGGTCTGTCTCCCGGCCTAACCATTAAAACAGGTGAATTGGAAGATAGCGGGAAAATGTCAGCCGTGTGGGATTATTTTATCCTGCACGATGTGTAGATGGAGACTAGGTGTGGAGGAGATTGGGGAGTATAAGGCATTTTTGGTAATAGTTTACTGTTATTTGCACTGATTTTTTTTTTAAGCAGTGTCTTTTTCCAAGAGTAGAGTCCTGATTCTAAGTTAATAAAATATTTTCCACTCTTGTCAGTTTTGCATTTTTATTACTTGCACCTTTAACTGTTTACGGTTTTACTGTTCACTGTGCAATTTCAGATTGCTATTCATAATTTTGTCCAGTTTGTGTTTATCTCTTAATAAACAGGTAAGTTTGTTGTTACCAATCATTGTGTTTAATTCAATCTCTCCTAATTCAGCTGGCTAGATGTTATCAAGAGTACTAAAACCCTTTTCAACATGAGTCTTACAACTAAGGCTAAATACTTTAACTTAAACTTAAATGCATGCTTGAATAGGCTGGTATCGGTCAGTATCGGTATCGGACCGGAAGTCCAAAAACAATATCGGTATCGGATCGGAAGTGCAAAAACGTGGATCGGGACATCTCTAACACCAGGTCCAGTTTTCTGTTCAACTCACCTCGTCTGAGAGTGAAACATTTCCTTCCTTTGTGCTACGTGCTTCTAAATCACAACCTTGTCCAGTCCCTGATTGGTCAATGGCATGGGATTTTTCAATTACTGTGAAATTTCGCAGTTCATTCAGCAAGCCTTCTGATAGTGCTGCTGCACACTATCCACATATATACTGCGCCTTGCTTCTTCTCTCTGAATGTCCGACCGTTGCCAATCGAATCGCCCAAAAAGTGTCCTTTGCATCAACAACTAACACAACATTTGAGCGTGGAAATCACTTGCTCCACTCACCAAATTTTGTGTGAATGCACCTTTAGTGGCTGCAAAAGACTTGAGAAGGATTCATGTTTCAAAAGGCCAACAATCAAATCCTATAAATGTGTAGACATGGCCCAGGCAATGTCCGGACACTATTTCAACAGGGAATCTGCAGCAAGACTTGAAAATCTATTGTTAAGTTCTGTCTCCAGCTATACCAAGGTCGTACAGAGGTACTGTCGGTAGGATTTGCACCAGAAGGTGCATTTATAAGGTATGAACTGAGTAAGACTTATCCAAATGTGTTCACACACAGTATACCAAACTTTTTGCTCAATTATCAACTAATTCCTCTCTATGTCATGTGTATGAACTCCTTTCTCTTTCATATAACTCTTCAATGATTCCTATTCTGAAGACACCTAGTTCAGATCCCAACAATTACAATAATCTCCACCCAATTTCAAAACTATCTTTTATCTCAGAAATACAGGGAAAAAAATTTTGCTTCTCAACTTCACTTTTACTTAACTTTCGACAACCTTTATGAACAGTTGCAGTCTGGTTTTCATCCCTGTCTTAAGAAACCTCCCTCTTAAAATTAACCAATGATCTTCTAATAGCAGCTGACTCTGGTCTAATTTCCATTCCCACTCTCCTTGATCTAAGCACAGCCTTTAACACAGTTTCCCAGTCTACCCTTCTCCATTAACTATCCACAACTGGCATTACTCACTCCTTTACCCATGTTTTATTCCCATCTTTCTGGCCGCACTCAGTTTTTTTCAGATCAAGTCCTATCATTCCTCCTCTTCTCGTTACAAACAGTGTTCCCCAAGGCTCTGACCTGGGAACCCTACTCATTCTCCCTCTTGGCCATATCTTCAGGAAATTCAGCATTAATTTCCACTGCTATGCAGATGACACCCAGCTCTATCTTTCCTGTAAGCCAAACCTTTCACTCCCACCTCCTTCAATAACCTTCTGTTTAGCCAAAATAAAATCCTGGTTCACCTCCAACTTTCTTGAATTATGGGAACCAAATTGACATTATCCAAAGCTGACAGTTTCTCCCTTTCACTTGATAACTACATAATCTCCCCCTTATCTCAGGTCAAAAGTCTGGGTGTCATCCTTGATAGTACGCTGCCCTTCTTCACTAACAGTAACAACCTAACTTGCACTCCTTACTTTCACTTATCAGTCAAATTTCACTTATCAGTCTTTCAATATCAGTCTCCTTCGCCCCTTCATCTCCCCTGGTTCCATAGTCTTGTAACTTCCCGCATTGATTACTGTAACTCTCTTCTTTTTGGTCTACCTCAAAAATCCTTAAACAAACTTTAGGCAGTCCAAAACTCTTCCACTTCCATCATTCCTAGAACCCCCTCTTCCCATCACATCACCCCAGTCCTGCAGCAGCTCCACTGGCTCCCTGTCAAGTTCAGAATTCAATTCAAAATCCTGCTATTTAAAATCCCTCTCACATTCTTAGATCCTTTTCTACTCACTTCATTGTTCCTTTCTCCCGTCTTAGCACCATGAGGAGCAGAGCACCCACACTCTGGAACTCACTCCCCCCTGACATCTGCAATACCGAGTCTTTATCTTTGTTCAAATCAAAACCCAACTTTTCAAGATTGCTTTTTCACTAGGAATTTTTGATACTTTCCTGTGGTTAGTTTGTGCTGTTTTTCTAATTATGACATGTTGCTTTTTTTTTTAATCTCTTATTGTTTTTACATGTACAGTGTCATTGAGTGTTTTGAAAGGCGCTTGAAATAAAATGTATTATTATTATCATAAAATCCCAAGAAAGTACATTGAGACTTTTGGTTGCAATCAATGTTCCCTCTAAGCTGTACACTTGCGCACTAGTAAAATGCACAAGAAAATCTATTAAAATAAAATCCAACATAAACAATTATAATAATAACACATTTTCTGTATCCTTTAGAATCTATTTCATTCATTTTAAAACTTAAAACGAACAGTTTAGTATTATGCCTCAGTTTAAGTAGCAACTGTCCACAGAGCAGCAACATGCTCCGTGTGACTTTTCTTTTTTTTTTCTCTATTTTTTGCTAAATTCAAGTACATGATGAGGAAAAAATGCAAACATGGGTCAATCAGCACATTTTCAGATATGGTGGCTGTAACTCTTAGAGGTGAGGAATCAAAGGAGATCTCACAGCTTGTGTAGAGTTGGGCTACATTTCAAGCATCCAGTGTTGATTGTGAAAGAAGTTTTAGTTTGATTAATCATATCTAAACAGCGTCCAGAAAGCTCTTAAAGTGGCATATTTGGAAAACTACTCAAGAAGTAAAAAGGACAGACGTGAAAAATAGATTCAGTTTAAATCAGATGTATTCATATTCTAGTCACGTTTCATTTTTTTTTTTACTTATGGATGATAATACTAAAATGCTTTAACTATTATATAATCTGTAGTAGACGCGCAAAAGTAGGGTGTAATTAAATAATTAAAGTTAGAGACAAAAGAGTTATACCGGTAGTAATTTATACCATATCACAAGCTTTAGGTTAATATATATATACACAGATGAAGTTTACATGCCCTTCCATTAAAGACAGAAAAGTGTTGCAAGAAGGTTCCAGGTTTTACTCCCGGCCTGGAGGCTTTCTGCATGGGGTTGGCATGTTCTTCCCATTCATGCATGGATTCTCTCCAGGTTCTCTAGCTTCCTCCCACAGTCCCAAAACAGGACTGTTAGGTTTATTAGCATCTCTTAGTTGTCCTGTGTGATTGCGTGTGCATGGTTGTACGTCTTTGTGTGTCTCTTTTTTGCACTCGGACTGGCGACTTGTCCAGGGTGTACCCCGCTTCTTGACCATAGATGCTGGAGATAGACACTGGCCCCACTTAAAGACAGTCAGTGAAATCAGGTATTTTCTGTAATGTTCAGGAAATGTTCAGACCTCACTTGTTGACAGATAAGTTGGTTCACTTTTGATCAGCAAGGTAATTTAATTTGTCTGGGGCAGTTGGTTTTTTTAGAATTATTTCTTTAAATCAGTATTTTATTTGAATAAATTATCATTCAGTACATTCTTATCTTTTTTAGTTTTGTGGGGTTTTTTTATTACTAGTTTGAATTCAACATTTTCTTCAATGGGAGGGTATGTAAACCCTCAAGCAAAACTATATACATATCTATATCT